ACACACACACACACACACACACACAATAAATGTAAAAAATAAAAAAAATTAAACAAAAATAAATTTTTTCTTTTTTTTTGAGATAGGGTCTTGTTATGCAGGTCAGGCTGGCCTCGAGCTCACTTTGTAACCCAGGCTGAGCTCAAACTTGCCATGATCCTCCTGCCTCAGCCTCCTGAGTACTGGGATTAGAGGTGTGTGCAAATATTTCTTGAGTCCAATTTCTCTTGAATTTCAAAACTTACTATGTACAACTCAAAAATAAATGTAAGATTGTTTTCACAAGGAAAATCTATAAAAGAGAGAAAGATTAATGTGTTCACAGTGGGGCCATAATTCATATGTCTGGCTGCCAAAAACGTTATGGGTTCTCAACATAGAAACCAGACCTGAGCCTAAATTAAAATTTAAATATGAACCTTTTATTACCAGGCCTGGGACTGCTTGACCATACTCACACAGGAGAGGACAAATGGCCCCTGGGCCCAGTAATAAAAGAATCATATTTAAATTTTAATTTGGACTCAGGTCTGGTTTCTGTGTTGAGAACCCATAACATGTGGGGGCTCATCCAGGATTCCACTAACTGGGATCAAGAGTGGCTATGAACCACCGGTGGCACACATAGGACTGTCCCACCAGGCAGCATAACAGCCAGGGGAGGGGGGTACACACAAGACTGTCCCATCAGGCAGCGTGACGGCCAGGGGAGGTACACGCTGCCCAGGTCAGGCATGCATGAGCCACCTGTGGTTCAAGGTGGCAGAGCATGTTAGTAACTGCCTAGGGAAGGATGGGAGGGCTGACTGCCAACAGACCTGCAGGGTGAGCAGGGCTAAGCACAGGGTCGAAATCTGGGCTGTGCGAAGAGCTGTACAGCCACGGAGGACCAGTAAGCCTTGGGGACACAGTCTCTCTAAATGCAGCCGCCTCTCCTGGCCACACAGACACAGTCCCTGCAGCTCCTGTTACCTAGCTCTTCCTCTGTGAGGGGAAGGTACTGGTCCACCAGCAGCTCCGATCTGCTGAGCGCACTTTCCACTCCGCTGCTCACGAGCTGCATCACCCGACTGTCCAGCACCGTGTGAATGCTGTCATTCACCACGGACTTGGTCTTCTCCACGCGGCCGCTCACTGCTCCCACGGTCCTGTCCACCACCCCCGTGATCGTGCTGGCCACCGAGCCCTTGGCCCCAGCCACGGTCTTCGTCACGGCATCTCTTGCCCCAGTCATGGCATCTTTGGCATTGGCAACGACCTACAAGGGGAAACGCAGATCAGCTCCCAGGGGAACCGTGGGCACAGACACCCATGTGAGCACCGAGGCAGAGACCGAGGCAGGGACCGTCACAGGGCACTAAGACGAAGAACCGGCCCTTCCGCCAGCTGTAGGTCTCTGGCAAGCCGTGAATCTTAGTGAGCCTGAATGTCCTCACCAAGCCTGTCTGCCTAGCCAGCGCCACCCTTAAAGGCTGTTAAAGGCGCAAATGAGGTAAACTGGTAAGAAACGGGCCACGGGACGTGGCTATCCTCAGTGAGACTGGGCACATCCAGGTGGCATGGCGCAGCCAAAGCTGGCTTAATCTAGAGAACGACGACACTCCCTGGGAGCAAGCAGCTCCTGCCTGCACGAGGCACAGCACTCACGCCCAGCGCCCCCGCCCTCCGCGCACACCCCCATGGCCCGCACGCAGGGGAGCTGCCAGCACTGTGTCCTTCTCATCCTTTTTAATGAGACAGGGTCTTGCCCTGTAGCCCAGGCTAGCCTCAAACTCCCGGAGACCCATCCTCCTGCCTCAACCTCCCATTACAGGTGTGCACCGCCACACCCGGCTGGCCAGGTCTCCACCCTGCCAGAAGTAGTCCTGGTCATGTCACCCAGCACAGAGCTGTCTACGTGAAGGGAAGACACATGGGGAGGGTGGAGAGAACACGGTAGCAGGACACCCACCAGAACACTGCCAAGAAACCTTGAAGATACTTGTTACTCAGGAGAAAACATTTGTAGAGCAAACCCCATCTAACTTTTTATGGATTTTTGAGGTAAATTGGTTTTTTTTGTAATATTGTACATGTCACCAAAATTGAAAAGAAAAAACACACCAGCACTGGGGAGGCTGAGGCAGGAAGATGGAGTTATTCTGGGCCACACTGCATGCCTTTTGTTGTTGCAAGCAGCACCTCACTCAAGGGCTAGCCTTTAATTCTCTGGTAGCGCAGGCTGGCCTCTTGACCCTCCTGCCAGGTTCTGTGCTATACATGTTTTTTTTTTTTTTTTTTTTTTTTTTCCGGTATATTAGGGAAGGGTCTACAGGGTGTTCAAGGTCTCACTACTAGATCACACTTGTACTGATCCGCCTGTTTACAGCCTCCCAAGTGCTGGGATTACAGGCGCACACCACCACGCCCAGCCTCAATTGCCATCTCAGCGTGCCCTGGGAGCAGGGCTGGCATGGCAGGCCCAGGCATGGCAAGCCCGGGGATCAAACCCCTGGCTCCTACACCTGTTTGCCGGAGCTTTAATCCGCTGAGCTATTTGGCCAGCCTTTATGCTATATTCTTAATCTGGAAAATTCTCAGACATTACGTGAATAAAAAGATCAAGGGGTAGATGGGGCTAGCACTGCTGTTAGCACTGGCTAGCTGTCCCTAAGGCACGGAGGTCCCCAACAGCATTCCAGGAGGCCAAGTGAGAAGAAAACCTTCCCTACTGTTTCTCCATTTATCTCTGTGTTGGCAGACCCCTTCACTGCTCCGCAGGGCAAAGTCACAAAGGGCACAAAGCCCACACATGCTGGCCGAAGTGGCTGCTGCTTTTCTTGAATACAACCTAACATCAGGGCGGGATGAGAGTGGTCATGATTCTTTCGAAGCCAACCTCAGGGCTGGGGATGTAGCTCAGTGGTGGAGCACCTGCCTAGCCTTGCAAATCCAAGTTCAATCCCCAGTACCATCACCAAAAAAGTATCAAAGATGCAGAAGAATAATCTGCCAATCTGCTTTGCACGGCCTGCGTACACTGGCAGGACATGAGAGAAATATAGGAGGTGGCAAGCTCACCTCGGTCGTCGGCTGATTCAAGATAGGCAGTCTCTCCTCAATCCTGTCCAGCCCCTTACAGGCATAGGCATTGGCAACTGCAACTGGAAGAACCATCAACGGGAAAAGATGAGCGTAAGAGAACGCGGACCTCTTAGCACAGGATGCACTGGCTGGCTTCTCTAGCAGACAGCAAGAGGCTCAGCGTGCTGCTGGCAACTTCTTCCACTAACAGGGAAACAGAAGGAGGCAGCGGGCCAGGCAGGAAGTTGGCCAATATGTGTCTTCCTCATCCATGGGCCCTCACGTTAATGCCAGGAGCAGCCCGACTCCCGCGAACCCCAATTCAGAGAACGGGGACTTAGATCTCCCGAACTGCTCAGAATCAGCCCACGCTCCTCTGGCCCTGGGATTCTTACCAGGAAGCAGCACCTGGGGTCCCCTGGCAAGGCCCAGGCTTGGGTTCAAGCTTCCCGGAGAGATGACTGTGCAAAACACTCATCCGAACTCACCAGAGATCAGCTTGGTTGTAATAATGCTTTTTCTTTCTGATATTCCTGCAGGTCCCTGGCTACCCTTGAAGGGAGCAATTTGATCTAAATCTTTGCTGTTGTTTTCTCTGGTATTGGAGACTGAACCGAGGGCCATGGGCATGCCAGACAAGCACTCTACCGCTGACATACAGCCTGTCCTTTACCTTGCAATGAGACATTCTCACTAAATTGCCCAGCCTGACCTCAAGCTCGCAGTACCTTCCCTCAGCTTCCTGCACAGTGTGGTTGCAGGCCACAGCACCAGGACACCCAGCCATTTTAACGTTTTTCATTGTCCATGTTGTTGTTTTGGGACAGAATCTCACTATGTGGTTCAGGATGGCCCTGAACTCAATGTATAATTCCAGGATGGCCTTGAGCTCACCGTGATCCTCCTGCCTCAGCCTCCTCCTGTGTGCTGGGATTATAAGCCACTACGTGGCTTCGAATTACACATTTTAAATGGGTGGGCTGTATGATATATTAAATCATCTCAATACAGATATTAAAAATAGAAGAGTTCATATACTCTGCACAGTTCCAAGAATGTCAGCTCTCCCAGCTCCCTTTCCTGATGCCTGCCTGGCAATCTGCTACAAAAACACATCTGTAGGGATGGGAAAGGCCAATACAAAGGGCTGCTGATACTTTCTAAGTAAAAGAAGCACCTGTATCGCCCCAGCTACCTGATGCAAGTGCAGGCTTAGGGCCTGCTCTTGTTTTACTGGAATTGATTTCTTTCACTTTTTGGAGTACAGGGGATGGAACCCTGAGCAGGCCAGGCAGGCATTTATGTTGCTGAGCTATATCCCCGGCCCTTTTCCATGTATTTAATGTATAAGGAATATAACAGGGGCCAAGGAGATGGCTCAGTAGAATAAGCATTTGCCTGGCAAGCACAGGACCTAATTAAATCCTGGTTCCAAAAAAAAGGGAATACAATAATAAAAAGGATAAGCCAGATGCGGTGGCATGCCTGTGGTCCCAGTGCTGTGGGAGGGAGGAGGATCACAAGAAATCACCCGCCTTGCACATACAAGGTGGTTTCATTCTTTTTTTTTTTTTTTTTCCCTGGAACCGGGGATTGAACTCAGCCCCTTGCACTTGCAAGGGAAGCGCTTATTCCACTGAGCCATCTCCCTGGCCCCAAGGTGGTTTGATTCGTCACTTAAACCCTAAACATCTGAGATGAGAATCTGTGACCGCTGGGAAGCAGCTGATTGGGGCGATTCCCCTCAATTGTTATGAAGGGCGCTCCTCACCAGTGCATAGCCTAAACAGCTTTGGTTCTGTTTGGAGACAGGTCTCGCGGCGCACTTCGGGCTGGCCTCGGCCGTGCTCCGGCCGGCATGCAGGATTCCCCGTCCCAGCCCCCAACCACGCAGCCCGTGCGGGGCTGCGCCTGGAGGGAAACGGCACTCACGCTGCGGCTCCAGCTTCTGCAGGACCGGCAGGACGCTGGTGACGGCCGCCGCCGTCACGGTCCTCACGCCCTTCTCGGCCAACTCGCACACAGACCGCAGGTAGGGGTGCTGACCCTTGGTGTCGCCGTACAGCGCGGACAGCAGGTCGCACGCGGAGCTCACGAAGGGCAG